TAAGTTTATCAATTTTTTTACTTTATTGCTGATGAATAGTTGTTGAATTTTTAATGAATAGTTAATAAACCTTTAATGAATGATTTAATGAATAGTTGCTGGTTTTTTAACAAATAGTTAACAAATTTTTAATAAATAGTTTTGATGGATAGTTGTCAAATTTTTAATAAATAGTTAATAAATTTTTGATAAATTTTTGATAAATTATTAATAAATTAAAGTCAAATTTTTATTGAATTGTTAATAAATAATTTTGTGATGAATTTTTAATAAATTATTGTCACAAATTGTTAATATGCTAATTTTTGTAGTTGGCAATTTATTTATATCATTTTTTTGCTGAATGTTATATGAGTGGCAGTATGTTGAATAATTTTTTTTCAACTAGTTAACAAGAAAAGAATCACTATTGAAAGAAGAAAAACTAGAAGATAAAAGTCTCAAGAAGATTCTTATAAAATGAGTGAAGTATGAAATGAAATGATTGGGATTTTAAGTTCAGTCAGAACACATATGAATAAAGAAAAATATGAAAACCTTATTTTTGAATACTATTTATCCAATAATTCTAGCTTCTAATGGAAGAATATTACAAAAAGACAACATATCAATTCACAAATATAATTTTGTGAAAAAATTAAAATCTGAGCTTGAAATTATATCCATAAAATGGCTAACCCAATCTCCAGATCTTAGTCCAATTGAAAATATGTGAAGGGAAGTTAAATTTTGAATTAATAAGAATAGAAAACCACATAATGAATTTGATTTAGAAGAGGTGGTTACTATGGCATGGAATAATATTGCATTTGATACAATTTTTTTTTTAGGTAGTAAAAATAAAAAATTGTTATAAAAATCGCCCTAATGCCGATGCTTGGAGAAGAGTGTTGTGGAAGGGCACCCTCCTTGGACCTCTTCTCCAGTATACTATATTGTTAAATGCTATTGTTTACTGAAAAATTATGATTTTTGCTTTCTTCTAAATTGATTGTTTTCGTAAATATGTTTCAACATTTGCCTTATGTCGAATTTCAATTTACTTCAGACAGTGACAGTGTATCTTCTCAGAGATTCATACGCAACACCCTTATATTAATGATTCAGAATATGTTCTCAATTTATGTGGAACAATTGCAAACGTAACAAATGAATTAAAAATGAAGTTTATATAAATATATTTGTTTAATTGGTTTTGTATTTCTATATGGGCTCGGGGCAAACAAAAATTTTGATCCATCAATCCTAAAAAAATTTGTCGAAATAATGTTTACCAAAATAAAATCACCGAATACAAGAATGGATTTAGCAAATGAGGACATGCGAGTGAAAACTTAGATTCTATAAGTCGACAATCGATGATATACTGTAGTTAAAGCAATTTCTTCGGAGTTTGCAAACAAAATTAGAATTCTAACGACTTTGGAGAAAACAATAACATCAAATCTAACTAAAATTGAATAAATCAAATCCGGCTAAGGATTTGTTTTATAAAAAATTTTTATTATCTTTTTTAACATATTGTTTTGTTTTCGATATTCATGTTTAAAAATTATCGAATTGAAATTTTATTTTAAAAAAATTACACGACAAAATTGACCAGGTGCCCAGGACCAATTGAAAAAGAGCATACATAAACCGTGATAAATTTTATTGTTTGAAGACGTCATCTATGTTTGGAAGAGAATCGAGAGCCCCTTCCGACAATCGGAATCAAGTCGGATGGATGTATTTTAGGGGGAGTTCCGGAAGTAGGTCTTTCTCTTAAATCTCTCCTAACATTATGAATTATTCTCCTGTCGTTTTTTTCTTTTTTTTTTTTTTGAATAGAAAATGACAACTCGAAATTTCCCAAAATACAACACCATGGCTATCGAAGTGTAGTGCGTAAGAATATTTACACTATGCTAAGCAAAAAAAAAAGAAAAAAAAAATTTTTTTTAAAGTAAAATTAAAATTAAGAAACCAAAGTGAATTCATTTATAAATTTAAATGTATATTACCAAGTCACTATGTGCAATACTGAGCTCATTCAGCTACTTGAGTCGCAGGTCCTAATTTTACTTCCCATCCTTTGACAAATAACTTCTCGAACATCCTTGGTCAGTACATTCGATCACAAAGTGATGTAGATCGTTTTTATCATCTACAAAATATATTATCGTCATTCGGGATCCGCGACAGAATATATGCTGTATATATATATATATATATTTTTTTTTTTAAAAAAAAAAATAAAAATAGTAATTACCCTGGCATATTCCAAAGAATTTGATAATGTAACCGTGCTTTAAGATACTGTATAATCCCAACTATAAATAAATAAGAATTTAATATGACATGGTTTTGTGCTTTATTTAGCATAAGTACATTATTAAAATATTATAGTCAAACCTGGTTGAGAATATATTTCCTATCGTTATCCCCCGCACCAAAAGAAAGTCATCTTTTCTAGAAACATCGCTTCCGAGATTGATGTGCATCCTGCTAAGAATATTTTACTGACTTCACCAACCACTTTCTCTGCATCAAATTCTTTATAAGTTATGACTTATATTCCATAATGATCAACCGAAGATTAATACCAATTAGCCATAAGTAAAACATTTGTACTAGTGACATCCATGGAAAGGGACGCGAGCATATTGGAATCTTGATAATAATAGTAAATGAATAAAATAAATATATATGGATATTCAGTAAAATTATAAAAGTGAAATCAAGAAAACCAAGATGTTTACCGATGGAATTATCCGATGAAAACGAATCAGATGTTTCGGAAATGGTTGGTGAAGAGTCTTCGAGAAATAAGCTGAGGTCTATTGTTTGAAAACGATCTAGGACTTCATTTATTTTGGGGCGCTGTGTAGGTTCTGTCTCCCAACAATCAGAATGAAGTTGAATGCATTGTAGAGGTGTTCCAGAAACCGGTTTCTCTCCTAAGTCCCTCTTAATTTTGGAAATAATTGAACAGTCTGGGTTAAATGGACGATGGCAACTTGAAATTTCCCAAAATATTATGCCGAGGCTGTAATTATCCGATCTTTTATCTAGTTTGTAACGCTCTTCGAGAAATTTTTGTGGATCAATAAATGGTATCATTCCGATTATGCTGGTATCGGTTGATGCCGTGTTATTAAAACATCTGGAAAGTCAAAATCCGATATTTTAATATTTCCTTTGCATATAAGAATATTTTTAGTGTGCTAAATATTCACCAAGTCACGATGTGCAATATCGAGCTCATTGTGAATATTGGATTATTATTTTCGAAGGCGGACAGGTGTTTTTCTGACTTTATACAGTAATTGTACTCTAGAATTTATATTGTATATGTCATAACATTTTTTATCGTTTCCAAAAATAATTATCCATATATGATATTCTTTCAGCTATTTGAACCGCAAGTCTTATTTTTTCTTCCCATTGCATGTCATTTCTTTTCCTTGACAAGTAGCTCCTCAAATTTCCTTCGTCAGCATATTCCATCACAAAATAATAGGAGTCGTTTTCCTTATCTTCCTGCAACGTAACAATATTGTTACTAAGAGAATTCTCTGCACCATTTAAAATATAATACCAACCTTGGCATACCTCCCAAAATTTAAATAATTCGATCATGACTTGTCCTACTATGTAGTTTTAGCTATAAATTTAAATATCATTGTTTAATTATTTAATTCATTGATATGTAGGCATCTAATATATTATACCTCATTTATAAGTTTCTTAATGCTAGTACGATTATGTTCTATAACGGACACCTTTTTTAGTACCACTTCTTCCAGAAATTGAAGTGCATCTTGTTGGAATATTTCGCCAAAGCCGCCTCTACCGATCGTTTTCCTTTTGCCAAATTTCCTCGAAAGGTAAGTCTTTTACTCTGTAACGATGACTAACAGCTTTTTTATACCATGAAACCTAGAACCAGTACGAGTTCGGATTATCGGTTCAAGCAATATACGTAAACATCACATGAAATCAGTGACGTATTTGATGCGTAATAAACTCCAGATTCAAACGCATAGTTCAAAAAAAGTAATTTCCCAAGCCATCTAAAAATGCATGCAAACTCCGAAAATGTCTCCATACGAAGTACCGAGCGTCAACGCAAGGCACAATCACTAAATGTGGCAACCCAACCGGATCCCGTGAATCCAGACTCGCCTTCAAGCTCACCGCCACAAACCCCAGACTCGCCGAAAAAATCACGGCCAATATCCCTGTTCGTACATCCACAAGAAAGAATGGCAAATTCGCCGTCGGAACAAACGATCGATTATTCGGCTCCACCGCTGGACGGTTCGCCTGCCAATTACGTGCCGTTTTCGTTTGCTCCTGCAGTAAGCTCGGAAGTTGACGTTGCTTCGTTAAGCTCGTCCAGAACTGTAGATACGAATCAAAGTCAAACATTTGATCAAGAAAGCGTGTCTTCTGATACTGCCGAACGAGAGAATGAATCACAAGGCTTTGTTAAATTACTTTGTGAAATTGATGTATGGGCACTACAGTTGATCAATTATTCAATATTAGTTTTCGACTACTTGATCTGCACAAATGCTTTCTTTTTAGGGTGGACTTGCGGTCGCTCTCAAACGAGCAAAACAAGCTGCACTCTCGGCCAAAGCATGTATAACTTTTTTTGCTCAACAAGTTCTTTTAGTATATTCATTCAAAAGTTTTTTTAGAATAATTAACATCGAATCGTCATTTAGGAGGCGGCCACTTTCTTGAAAAAAAGAGCTTCAATTGAGGATGAATATGGAAGAATGATGATAAAGCTGGCAAAAAGTATTCAAGAAAGTCATCACTTGAATGACACGAAACGAGGGTACATTTTCGCACGTTAGATCACGGAACTTGGGATGCTTGATATGTATTTGTATTTTAAGTATTTACCACCAGTCTTTAAAAATAGTTCATACGGTGATAACTGGGTTAATATAATGAGACTACATGAGTCGATCGGTGAAAATCGGGTAAAATTTGCGGCTGCCATCCAAGAGATATCAGAGGAAGTATCCATGTTGTATAAGGAGACCGAGAAAAGTCGAAAGAATGTATGTACAATTTACAGATTTATTGCAAACTTAAGTTTCTTTCTTCTCAATGACTCTAATTTTCATTAGCTTAAGGACTCCGGGCAAAAATATGAAAGAGGGATCCAAGACGCCGAGCAAGCTCTAGAAAAGGTGCACAAACCGTTTTGTTGAATAATGTAGGGTTAAGGCGAATCTGACCATATGACGTCGATATATTATACTTTATGCATCATTTAGGCCAAAGTAAAGTATGAAACGCATAGTGAAGATTGGGAGCGTATAATATTACAAAAGAACGGCGACACGGTCCCGAACACGAAACCTAGAACCTTAACAAAAGTATTTTCCAAGCAGCCAAAGACACCAATGCAGGTACGGATTTTCATCAAAACAAGCGTGATCAAGATTCGATATGATCTATTTAACGAGATTTGCAAAAACCGCTAAAGTTGATAAAATTGGAAGAGGACGCTAGGAACAAAGCAGCAATCGCAGACGACAGTTACAAGTACCAGCTGTCGCTTGCAAACACGGCCAGACATGAATACTATGATATACATCTACCGCGTATAATCACGGTGAGATAGATGATATCTTGACTTCCATACTTAAATTTCTCGCATAATTAATGATTCCGTTTCTCCGCACAAGGCTCTAAAAGATATTTCCGATGAATGCGACATAGGAATCCAATATCATCTGGCACGTTACGCTTATCTTTTTGAAAATACCATGGTGAACGACGCACTGGTGATAAGTCCGGTTAGTCCGGAAGATGGTAATTATAACTTTTTTGCACAGTGTCAACGGGAATTGCGTACCCATCGGATGTCTAAGTTGCTTCGCTAAAACAATACAGGACCGGTGTTACGAAGGTTGGTCGAACAAATCAACAATGAAGAAGATTATAGTGTATATGTTCAATCGCATATCTCCAAGGCCAAGAAAGTCCGAAATTCAAATATACCGTATGACCAATATAATATGGTACGTCAGGTATAAACGAAGCTTCCTATTTAGCTTTAATATTTTAATCGATGATAATTTCTAGTCTGAACAAGCCATTAACATCATAAAACCGAGGAATACGTTTGGGGTTGATCTAGCTGAACAGATGCAAAGGGATGGTGTTGAGATTCCCCTGATTTTGGTAAAGTGTGCGGAGGCGATTGAACAAATTGGTGGTAAGAAGTTTCGATAACTGTTTCTTGAACTTCAAGAATCCCATACCCTACGGAAATTGATTGCATGGAGTCCAATAGGTTTGGAGGTTCAAGGTCTTTATCGAGTCTCAGGAATCCAATCGCATATTCAACGATTACGAAGCCTATTTGATAAAAGTGAGATCTCTGTGAACAAACATTTGATTATCTTATAATAATGTCTTTGACGCATTGTTTAATTGATACCTTTGTAGATCCCGAGACAGCGGACCTTTTCGCTGAAGAGGAGCTGATAGCAGACGTCAATAATATTGCGAGCTTACTGAAACTATGGTTTCGGGAATTACCAGACCCCTTGTTCACGAGAGCTATGTATTCTGAATTTATAAATGCAGCAAGTATGCAGGTTTCTTCTCATTTTATTTCACGATGCTATTCACAAAGTGCACATGCAGTTTTACAAATCCCTTTTGGTTATTATCATTAGAGAATCCCGATGATAAGAGACGAGTTCTTGAACTTCACGATCGTGTCAACCATCTTCCCGATCCAAATTACAGCACCTTGAAATACTTTATGGGACATCTACACAAGTAAGCCATTGCATACATGCTTGACACATTTTGTTGATTCCCCTGTTCACCATTATTCTTCTTTTTTTTTTTATAGGGTTGTTTCCAATCAAGATGTCAACAAGATGACGGTGCAGAATCTTGGCATTGTACTGGGGCCAACATTGATGGGTAACCCCATGGTATCGCAAAGTGCACAACAAGTTGGATCAACCAATGTAACCACCGATAATGGTGGGTTTAATGACATGGCATGGCAGTGCAAAGTGGTTGAAACGATTTTAGAAAATTATCAAGGAATTTTTGTACAATAATACCAGGTTGAGTGCTTAAGGTTGATTTTTTAAAGACAATTTAATTATCACTATTTATCATACTATTCTACTTATTTTGAGTCGAGTTTTTCTGCTTCTTTTTTATAAAAATTTTGTGTGGAGAAGATGCATATAATAATCTGGAATTGTTATTTATAATAGCGATTTTAAAATCCATATCTCACCTTGTAAATTATATCTCTCACATTTTATTTTTATCAAATTCATTCAGTCGATTAACATATAAAATTGTAAATAATGATTGCATTTGTGTGGCTCAAATACTTATCAAAATTTTCGTGGTCTTATCCCTGTCTCGTGCTTTTTTGTACAATCTTCTAGCCGCGATCTATTTTTAACTGATCACAAATAAAAAAAAAATAACGTCCGATACTCCGGAATTTTTACCGGTTAATATTTTGTTGTTGCATGTGACACAAATTCTATTGGTTGATCACCTAACAAATCCCACAATTTTTCTAATTCACATCATTTCGTATAAATAGACGCCAAAAAGCTTTAGTTGATCCTCATCCTCTCAAGCCTTTTGGCTAAGATCAAGTGTAGTATCTGTTCTTTTCAG